GCGGGTTTTGTGGTTACTTAATTAGGTCCTTGCGAGAGCAAGGGGAGCCTCCCACATCCCCACCTCTTACCTGGCTAACCAAAGGAAGTGGTGTAATTCCAAGTGAACCACTAGCTTAGGAAACCCTAGGTCAGCCCTAGGTCTTGTGGTTGATTTGCTTGCATTTTTTTTTAAATTTTAAAAATTCAAATTTGAATTTAAATTTGAGGAATTTAAATTTCAAAATCTGAATTTGAATTTAAATTTCAAAAATTTAAAGTTCAAATTTAAAAAAAAAATAATAAAAATAAAAAGACTTTAAAAAAAATTAAAAATTCAAATTTGAATTTAAATTTCAGGAATTTAAATTTTAAAATCTAAATTTGAATTTAAATTTCAAGAATTTTAATTTCAAATAAAAATAAAAATAACAAAAAACAAGATTAAAAATTTAAAATTTAAAATTTGAGTTTAAATTGCAAAATTTGAATTTCAAATTTCAAAAAAAGAAGAAAAAGGGGGGTCAAAACAAAATAGGAAAAAATGAATTCAATGGTCCGAGTTTGTGGAATGATAAACTACTTCCAACCTGAGCTACGAATAGATTGGAACTATGTGTCTCGACAACTGGACAAGACTAATGGGATGGCCCACAGAATTGACCAAGTCCTTGCATATCGTCAACAATGTAGCCCATACCCAACCTTGTCATCCTGCCCAAAATGTTCCATCTGTGCAAGCCCGACCCATCATGTTAGCCAGTGCCCTACGGCAGGCCCATGTCAACTAGTCATTCCAAACCAAGTACATGCGACCAATAGATTTTTCCAACCCAATGCTAACCCATTCTTTAACCCATATAACCCTGGGTGGGAAAATCAACTTCACTTATAGGTCCCAAGTCCAAGAAACCCCCATACCAAATGTGCACTCTCAATGGTTTGAAGCCCAGACTCATTGGGAGTACAATGATTACCATGGGACTCAATCGGCTCAACCATGTCAAACTTACACATAGTCCCAACAACAATACCGTCCATCTAACTCTATGGCTCAGCAATTTTAGAGGCCACAAGCGCAGAGCCAATTCCAACAGATGTATCCTAGGAACCAACCAGCCCAATCTTATCAGACTTACCCACAACCTCCTTAGACCCGTACAATTAATGACCAATTCATGCAGATCAGTAGTTGATCCTAATTAGTAGCAATCCATCGATAGATTAGAGAGCCAAATAGGACGGCTAGCCGAAGCCAAGGCGAGGAGAGAAGTAGGGAAAATATCGAGTCAACCGATTGCGACTCCAAGAAATCAGCCACCGGGTTTTCCTCCACGGTAGATTCAACCACCTCTTAAGAACCCTAAACTTGAAAATACCTTAAGGAGTGAGCGGATTTTAGAAGACCTGAGAGTTAGTGAAGAAGAAAAGGAGCAGGAAGACCATAAGTTGGGGGGAGAAGAAGAAGGAAACAAAACTTTAGAAGAAGAGCCTATAGTGAACCAACCCGTAGTTCCCTTTCCAACTGCACTCACAGTCGGGCCGGTGTGAAAGAACAAAGAGACTCACAGTCGGCAAGTCTATATTAACTTCCCTCTCCTTGATAAAATCTGACATATCCTGGCTAATGCCAAGTTCTTGAAAGAGTTGTGTACTCAAATGATGGAGCCACGATCAGTCCCACAAAAAATGATGCTCTCGGCAGATGTTAGTGCAACTCTCCTAAACCAACTTCCCTGAAAAATGAAAGACCATGGTGCTCCTCTCATAAGTTTTGTCATCTTTGGAATCACATTCGGTTGGGCCCTATTGGATCTTGGGGCTAGTATAAATCTGCTTCCGTCCATTTATAACAGGTTTAGGATCGGCGAGTTAAAACCTACCCCGGTAATTCTGCAACTCGCTGATTAGTCAGTCAAGACTCCTAAAAGTGTTATTGAGGACGTCATTGTCAAGATAGAGGGTTGTCACTTCCCAATGAATTTTATCATCCTAGACATGACCCCAACCAAGGAACTAAACCATATCTCGATACTCTTAAGATGTTCATTTCTCTCAACGACTAATACAAACTGTAAATCTGGAGAAATGGACATTTCATTTGAGGAGAAAAAAGTCCAGTTAAATGTTTTTAGTACCTCTAAGTATCCAAATCTAGGGGAAGATGAGGGCAAGATAGATGTAGTTGATGATCTTTTAGATGCCCTGTCTGCCCCTTGGTTAGCCCAGTCTGAGCCCTATTTGTATGAAGATGAAAGTGTGATCGCTATCTGCAAGAGTACAGAGTCGTGCAAGTAATATATTAAGGAATACAGTCCCCATGAGGAATGAATTATTTAGCCACCTATTAATTTCTTCTCAACTTGTTTAAAGCAATAATCAATTTGGGTTTGCGATTTAAGGAATTTAAACTAGCGCTACTGATTAAGGAAATTAAATGACAAAAAACCAGTAATTTGAACAAAATCAATAACAAAGTTGCTAGGGATTAATCCTATCATGATCATCAAGATTCAATATCAATAAAATTTCACGAGGGTTGTTATATTCCAAGGTGTTTCCTAAAAACACTAGTCGCACTTTCTCAAGAGTCGATTAGCTAAACCTATGTTCAATTAAATGGACTTACAATCAATGGATTCTCATTCTTTCAATCGAAATCCTCTTTGCATAAACACAAGTTGTTAATACACCTACAAGGAAATCTGGTGGGTGTCGAATCCAACAAAAAATAAAAATCCTGCTCGAATTAAATTGTTTTGTATATAGTGATGAGCAAGGTCATCTCCACAGGGATTGGGTGGATTTATTTCCAAGAGAAAAGAAAATAGAGGGGCCGTTTTAAAAGCAAGGAAAATAAAATAAAATAAAATAAAGCAAGGATTAAATMGATGGGAGATAGCTTCTGGTTGAAGGGACAAGTTCAGCCTTGATTCTTATCATTGATCATCGATGCAAGGATAAATTCATATGTTTATGTACAAATTGGTTATAGCCATTAACAAGCTCTAACAACCAACCTCTACTCATATTTCTCGGCAACCAAAACAAGCTCTTTGATTGCTTATCTTATTAATAGACAGTCCTAAACAAGCTCTTAGGATTTAATCTATTAATAGCATTAAGAGGGGAGAGACCCAATTTTGGTCAGCGATCTCACAAGCTCGGACCGTTTAAACCAGATCATATGTCCTCCTAACATAAATCAAAAACTTGTCCATAATCAATTTATGTTAGTTGCCACCATGATTAAACCTACCAATCATATACGAAATTGGAGGTTAAATCGGCCATAGATWATTCTCATTGAATGAGCAAGGGATCCTTCTTTCTTAATCAATAAAAATAATCCGCACAGGAAATCGCAGAAAACATATGAATACCCATAAACAATGAACTGAAATAAAATTCAATTAGATCTCATAATGTTTAAGAATCAAAGCTTCCCTAACCTTTCAAGCAGAAATCAAAAGCTTACACACAATTCATGTAGAAATCGTAGCTTCCAGATGAGGGGGATGTATTCTGCTTTTTTTCTCCCTTCTTGCTGAATTCTTGTTTCCAAGATTTGATGATCCTTGGGTGCTAGTCTGCCCCCCTTTATATAGCCTTAGGAGGAAGCAATTTTCAGCTCCTCTTATGAGTTCTCYTTCTCAAAAAATAGAAAGTCCTATTTCCTAATTCAGATCTAATCTTATCCTTATCTCTAAATAGAAACTCTTAACTAAGTTGGACTCTAACTCTTTTCTTTCTTTAAGATTACAATAAAAATCAGATCTGATTAAGACTCTTAGCCGAATTCTATTAGGAATGATGAGTGGGCCCTACTATTTCATACTGAATTGGGCTGGTCTTCTCCAGCAAACTAGGGCTTCTCTGCGAATTGGGCTTTGCTGCAATCTGGGGCTCTCTGCGAATTGGGCTTCTCTACGAATTTGCAGAGACTTCGGGGCCGATTTTGACCTCGATTCTGTCTGAATCTATCAAAACTCAAAATGGGAAAGTTGTAGAGCATCATTTCCTTATCTTTCCAATGCATCTTGAATCATCTCAATCGGAGTAAGAATGAGAGAGTTATGCCCAAATTACCACACGGCGCCGAAATTGTGCAAAATTACCCAATTAGCCTTGTTTTTCACCTAATGCCTCCTTTCGTGCCCTAAATCGAAATATAAGAATAGTGAGTCCAATTAGGCACTAAATAAGTATAAAAGACTGAATATTAAGGGATAAAGATAAGATAATTTTCATTCTCATGAAATTCCCCCACACTTAGACCTTTTCTGTCCTCGGGCAAGACAAAATTCAAGCAAAATAAGCAAACTATTTTACCAGACTTTAAACTCAATCTTCCTTCATCTTTTTCCACAAATATCGTAGGTCGGTTATTGCGAACTATTAAGTCAACACGACCAAGTTATACACGACTCATCTATCAACCAATTCAATTTTTGCTACTACAAACTAGGTAGTAAACTAGGGAAAACATTTTTACTTCCTCTCTCTCTCTCTTTTTTCTTTTCTTTTTTTTCTCTCCTTGGTGGAAGTGAGTGAATTTTATGCTCCATCTCACTTTTAGGATTACTTGGTCAGTAGGTGCATTTTATGCTCCATCCTACTATTTGAATTGTTGGCTACTAGGTGCATTTTATGCTCCATCCTACTATTGATTTTCTTGGCTGGTAGGTGCATCTTATGCTCCATCCTACCAATTGTAGTAATGGTAAAATATTTACCCCATTTACTTAAACCTGAATTTTGGACTAGCTTAAAAGGGATGGCTTCAGATGAATGGTGTACTCCCTGATCATATTTCTTTACTCAGTTCACAAGAATCTTCCCATAACACTATTTCAATTGATTCCAAAAGAGTTGAGTTTTTTTTTTTTTTTTGAACTAAAATAAAAATCAATTATCAGATCCTATACTCCCCCTCCCCACACTTATTTTATGCATTGTCAAAAAAAGAAAGCTCACTAGAACAAAATTTCAGTAGTATGGAGATAAGGGGAACTTCCCTGACTAGTGAGTTTCACTAGCATTCTGCTTGGGGTTGACTATGGTTTGTGAGGGTAGTTTCCCTGATCCTTGAGATTCTAGTCGGCTCATAGCAGTTGCTAGTTGACTTACTTGATTTTCCAGGTTTTGGATGCTTGTCCTTGTCTCCGGTTGGAATTGCTGGGTATTAGCTGCAAGTGCTTTTACAATTTCATCCAAAGACATACCTGGTCTCTGAGGTGCATGTTGTGGAGCTGGTTGTCTAGGTTGGAAATCGAAGGGCTTGACTCCATAGCTAAGATTAGGGTGATCCCTCCATCTTGGATTATACATATTTGAATAGGGATTGTATCTCCTTTGTGGGAACCCTCCAACAGCAATGGCTTGATCGTAGGGTTCATCTTGAAGTGTAGGGCACATGTCAGTAGGATGACCCATAGTTGAACAAATGCCATAAGTTTTTATCTGCTGTACATGGCCTACAACCAGTTTTTCCATGAGAGAGGTGAGGGTATCTAATCGTTTATCAATGGAAGAAGTGCTTACCTCATTGACCCTCCTTGGAACGGGTTCCTGTCTATTGCCGAACTGTTGTGCATTGGCGGCCATGTTTGAGATTAATTCTCTTGCTTGAGTAGGAGTTTTATTCACCAAAACACCTCTGCTTGCTGCATCAATCATACTTCTATCCATCAGCAATAATCCTTCGTAGAAATATTGGATAAGGAAATGGTCTGGAATCTGATGTTGCAGACAGTTGGCACAGAGTTGCTTAAATCTCTCCCAGTACTTAAAGAGAGTTTCTCCGCAGAATTGTCTTATCCCACAGATTTCCTTTCTGATGTTAGCAACTCGAGAGGTAGGGAAGAACTTTTCAAGAAATTGTTTTTTCATCTCGTTCCATGTGGTGATAGAACTGGAGGGTAAGTAGTAAAGTCAATCCTTAGCTTTATCAGCTAATGAGAAGGGAAAGGCATGCAGTTTGATCTGCTCCTCGGTAACACTTTGAGGTTTCATGCTCAAGCAGACCACTTGGAATTCTTTTAGATGTTTGTGGGGATCTTCACCTAAAAGTCCACGGAAAGTAGGAAGTAAGTAGATAAGACCGGATTTCAATTCAAAAGGTACCATTAGATCTGTATATTCGATGCAAAGTGGATGCTGATTCAGATCCGGTGCAGCTAGCTCTCTAAGAGTTCTTTCATCGATGTTGGCCATGACTTGTTCTTCAGAGTTGTTAAATGGCTCGACGAGGTTTGTTGCCGACTTCACCCCAGAAGATGGGAGCGATGCCGATTGGTTGCGATGTTGCTTGGCTTCCTTTCTTAAATGGCGAACTGTGTTTTCGATCTCGGGATCGTACTGGAGTTCACCTACACAAGAAGAGCAAGGCATAAACCAAGCAAAAGGGAATAAATCTACTTAGTACACCAATCCCCGGCAATGGCGCCAAAATTTGGTGGGTGTCGAATCCAACCAAAAATAAAAATCCTGTTCGAATTAAATATTTTGGTATATAGTGATGAGCAAGGTCATCTCCACAGGAATTGGGTGGATTTATTTGCAAGAGAAAAGAAAATAGAGGGGTTGTGGTGGGTGTCGAATCCAACCAAAAATAAAAATCCTGCTCGAATTAAATATTTTTGTATATAGTGATGAACAAAGTCGTCTCCACAGGGATTGGGTGGATTTATTTCCAATAGAAAAGAAAATAGAGGGGTTGTTATAAAAGCAAGGAAAATAAAATAAAATAAAATAAAGCAAGGATTAAATCGATTGGAGATAGCTTCTAGTTGAAGGGACAAGTTCAGCCTTGATTCTTATCATTGATCATCAATGCAAGGATAAATTCATATGTTTATGAATAAATTGGTTATAGCCATAAACA